GTAATCATTCAAAAAACGGACACCTACAGTAATAAAAGTACGGCCCTAAAAGTCTGTGTATTTGAAGACGCACAGCTAAAAACTTTTGTTAAGCTTTATAACGTCTGAAAAAACAAATTTTTAAAATGAGAACTAACTTTAAGATTACCAGAGAAATAGGTTTAAGTTTAAAAAGCAACTTCAAGAATTTACCTTCTGGTTTGGCATTGTGCTCAGATAGTTATTCATCACGCCGCCTCCCAATCCAAGTATAAGAATTTTATATTCTGTTGGCGAATTCAGTTCAACTGCTTCACTAAAGAAAACTCCCGCTAACATGGTTCGCGCATATAGCAGACGAACCGTTGTTTTGTCTATTTTCCACTTTGCTGTATCAATATTTCGGTAGGTCAGCTCTGAAATAGCAAATGAAGATGATTCGCTGCTTAATCCACGTATTCTGCTGGTCTCACTTTTAGGTATAAGAAGTCTAGCTTCAGAAAGCAAAAGAACTCCATCTGAACCCTTCAGGCGCAAACCGCGGAATGCCAAAGTTCTGAGGCAAGGTAATAAATTAATCTCCTATAGCTTAGAGAAGAGATGAACATACCGCCCGCTTGTATTTTCTAGTCTATCTGTTATGGTAAAGCAAAATTTCGTTGTTTCACTGCACATCTCGTCGACCTTGAAAATTAGCTTTTTGACACTTTCAAAGAAAGGAAGTGGTTTTGCGTTTAAATACGTGATGCCTTTGGTTGCGCAGAAGCGTATTAATTGGATCAAATGGTCTTTGGATTTTGTCAGCTTTTATATCTTCCCGATTGAAGTAACGCTGAAAGTAGCTTGTTTTGATAATCTGGCAAAATCATTTACGCAACTTACGGCAACGAGAATGGCCACAAATAGTGCAACAAACGAAACGAAGGCTCCTAGCAATTTCCCCATGATGGCGGTAGCGAAACTGAATGATGGAATTGTTTAGAGTGCCAACAATTCAATATTTTGAAACTACAGCTAATGATTTTTTGCCTCTTTTCTGTGGAGCGCTGCTGAATTACAGTCAAACAAAATCTGTTGACGTTCGCTTTATTTCCACGCATTTGATGTTACTAGCCCATTTAGCGTAATTCAAAATTTCAATTAAGAGTGGAGGATTCGTTTTCAAGAAGAAAATGCTGCTGGTTTTTCTGGCAGAAACCGTAACATGTAAACTCTGATTATTACTACAGTATAATCTTATTTTTGATTCTTGTATTGATGATTACATGCTACTTTGGCTTCCAAGCTGATTTTACAGCTAGTTTTCTACCTCAATATGCATTTGGTGCTTCCAAAAAGACTTGTACTTTGCCGTGTACCAGCTTGGTAACGTAGGAAACAAAAACTCCATATGTGTCCCTTAAATATGCATACACCTATGTTTTCTGCAGTCCAAAGTGCCTAGTTAAGTTCTACTAATTATTTAAAGTAACAGTAGGTCTTTGCAGCGCTGCAACTTTGTAAAGTGTCATGGTTGCTACCTAAA